TAAAACCCAGAAAATTTAAAAAGCCTCCTATAATCCTACCACTAAAATTACTTTTTAATTACGTTTAATTACTAATATGTAATTAAATCATTTTTTAAAAATGCTTTTTAAATACATAACACTCTATAATATTTTACTCAGTCATTTTCTAACTATTGAAACCAAGACTGTTCTTGGGTTTTGCCATTATAAAAACTGCTACAATTAACATGCTTAATCATACATAGTTTTCAATATTCAGATTACTTCTTAAGGATAAAATGAGTTGGGTAATGAGTCGGGTAGTCAGATTATTACACTCAAAAAGAGAGTAATTTTCATTTAATGTTATTTTAAATTACTTTGTGATACAGTTAGAGGGCTTGAGACAGTTGTGGGAGGTAGAAAGTAATAGATCAGCGTGTATTCAGTATTCTATACATCTTATTTTAGTCTTTGCACGGAGAGCTTGTTGTCATTCAATCTTGTATCTCAGAGCCTAGCACAGTGCCTGGCACATAGGTTCTAACTACAGTGTGTGTTTATAGAGCTTGAGTGCTAATTTAAGCATCTAAAATAAACCTATGATAAAATATGATGTGGAAAGATTATTTTGATAAATATAATAAATATTTTAAATATTGTTTAAAGGCACATGTTTATGATGATTAATGCATCCATTCTGTTACTGGCTCTCAAGCACAATTTAAATACAGGAAAATTCAAATAATTAAGCTTACATATGTCTAAACTATCACTTTCAAACTGACATGGTTTAGGTATGATCCATGGTCACATCGTGCTGGAAAATGAAGTACAAATTTTCAGAATGAGTCAAAAAGTACTTGATTCTATTTTTGAAATGTTCACTACATGTGCAGCAATGAACAGGAGCTGTGGTAAATTAGAAGATAAAGTTTCACTATTTAACAGGAAAGCTAGAACTATGGATAACACAAATAGTTACAGTGTATGGCCCCAGGCTCCTTGCAAAGGGAAATGTAAGCTAAGAACTAGGACCGAAAGGTAAAGATCATGTAAAATAATCTACAAAATGGCTAATAATAAAATAGCGATCATAGGTAACATGTATCAAGTGCTTGCTATATGTCAGGCACTGTTCTAAGCTCTCTATGTGTATTAACTCAGGAGTTGCCTCCATAGCAATTAAATCAGAGGTCTAGGGGTATGGACCCAGCATCAATACTTTTTAAAGATCTGCCAGATAATTCCAGACTGTAGCAGAGTCTGGGAACCACTCAATGATCCCGCAAGGTAAATATTCTTGTTACGATTCCTTACTAAGGTGGAAACTGAGTCACAGGGAGGTAAAGGAACACAAAGGGTTGAAAAGCTGAGATGAATCCAGGTGGTCTGGTTCCAGAGCCCTTCATCTTGACCACTGCAGGGGGTCCCCAGTGCTTTACTGCCATTTCTTATGCATAACTTTGATTTTTATGAATTTAAGGAAATTTTCAACACATACCTTAAAAATAATCATTTTAGGGGGTTATGATCTATTCATACGCAGTTTGTTTACTACCAGCATGTGTGATACGGTCTCCCTGGGTACTACCTATCTTTACCATGAAAAAGGTTGTGCCCCGATTCCTTAACCACCTCCCACCCCCAGATGTTTTTGCTACTTATATTTATCCTTAGAGTCCACCGAAGTCCACATCTGGGAATTGGTTGCACTTGTGAAAAAAAGGGGCCCAGGGGTCAAGCAAAGTAGAGCATACACTGAGGTTCTTTCTGTTCCTGAGACCCCATTCAGGTCCCAGGTTTTGACTGTTAGACGCCAACTACTATGGCTTCTTTTGTTCAGCCTCTGCTGCAGGCTTAAAGTTCCTCTTTCATCCTCAACCTAAAGTCATGTTACATTATGGGACTTCCGGGGGGGGGGGTGTCCTAGGTTTTCTGCTTAGCTTTGCTACTCTCACTCTATGACTTCAGGCAAGAGGCATATAATTTCTTCCAGACTAGTGTACTGTGTGCCATTCTAAGTGGACTCTGGAGATCTGCTTGGTTAAGTTTTTGGTTCTCTGGCACTTCATTGCTCTAACTTTAAGTTCAAGTATGTACTCCTACAGAACGCTCACGTATTTCCAGACCTTCAGAGTCACCATGACTGCTGATTTCTAAGTCCACTATGAACTTGGGTGTTCTTCTGTGAACATCTCCTGTCTGCAGGGGCAAGCTTGGTCATAGCTATCCTTGTCCAAGCAATTGCCTTTCAGTTATAACTTGGGGGGTACGACTCAGTACTTAATCCCCCCAGAGCTGTGTATGTAGGGCCAGATCAGATTTAATAAACTAGGCACTTGGGCCTGAGGAATCGCACAGATGTGGGACCCTCCTATGGAGAACATGTTTTCTTCCATGGCTGCTTTTTTATGTCCTAGGAGATGTATTCATGGCCATGGCCCCATGGTTGCATTAGCTAAAATTTCCCTCTAGCGAAACCGCACGTTTTACGATGGAATCACGCAAGCCCACCGAAAGCTGGAGTATAAGCCCCGCCACTGAGCTTTAGTTCCAAGGTCAAGGATTCCACATTCCAGGCTCCGCAAAGAGGCAAATGGGACTGAGAGTGGCAGTTAGAATTTACATAAGAACCTGAAGGCTTCCAGCCACCATGAATAAACCTCATGGTTTGTTATCTGTTGAAAAAGAAATCCCACCCTTTGTCATTATGAAACCCAAATAGAGAGAAAGAAACTGATCACTCCTGCTTCAGTAAATCGTTTCTAAAAGACCTTATCAGGCCACTAATAGTAACATTTTTTCTGCATTCTAACCTGCCCCTGCTGTTTTTTCCTAAAATGGTAAATTCAGGGGCAGGCTATATTTTGTTCTATTTCCCAACATTTAATTAGCAAAAGAAAAAAAAAATACATGAACAAAGGAAAAGCTCACAAAAAGGGAGAGAACTGGGGGTCAGATTCCTCAGATTCCTCTGACAAAGGGGTCAGACCTGCGTTCGGTTGCCTGGAATCCTTGGCAGGGGTGGGGGTTAGACAGGGCAGCTGAGAATAAGTGTCCAGGGCAAGTGCTGACGACTTTGAGGAAGCCTGACAGTAGGGCTTGGGACAAGGAGAGTTCCTGAGCCCCAGGCCCAGTTCAGGCCTGGCACACATCTGGATTCTGTTCTGGGGTTCAGAGCACACACAGCCCTGGGAGAAACCTACAGTCCAACCCTCAAAAAATTTGGAGGGGAAGCTGTGGCCCGGTGTGGCCTCACACAGCCACACTCTGAAGGAAGCTGCAGATTTACCACCCACCCCAAGTGCTGCTGGGGCCAAGGCCCCTTCTAGAGATGGCTGGGACCAACCATGGCAAGAATGATGAGCTGGATGCTGGGCCAATGCCAGCAAATGGCACAGCGCCACTTTAAAGCCATTTCAGTGAAACCAAATGTTGTTGTGACAGATCAAGAGAACTTAAAACAAATCGCTTGACATTTAATCAGTTTCACATTTTTGGACCTCTCCATGATGTTAATACAGTAGACTTGAAACATTTAAAGCAGATACCTCCTAGGCTTTCAACACACTATTTTCTCCAAAACATGAGTACCTCAAGTCTTAAAGTGACTGCCTCAGACTCATTAGAGAATGTAGTAAAAACAAGTAGAAGAATCACAAAATCTTATTGCTGTGTCCCACAGTTTTGTTGACTTGTTAAGTGACTATTTCCTGTGTGAAGGAAGCTACTGTTCAAAGTGTGCCTCAGTGACATTATACATTGCTACGTTTCACTGACCTCCAGGGTAATTTCAAAGTGTAAACTTTGTGAGTGTCAAAGGTCTGTAATGAAAGAATAGCTCTAGCAAACGATTTTGCTCCCCAGGTAAGAAACGAAGGACTTCCAAGACAGGGTCCCATCCTGTGAGCTGAGGACCCCTAGTGGTCGCCGTAGTAATAGCTCCTTCTGAACAGTAAGCGTTGCCTGGAAAATGAGTTAAGTATCTAAAACACCATTTTTTCTGTTGTGATTAATATAATACAGCATCATTTAAAGTACTGAAAATGTTACAAAGGCTGTTCATTACTGTCATTCTTTTTCAATTAAAAGATACCCAAAATACTATGACTAACTGGAGAGAGTCGGATGTTTTGATGTCATTCAAGATCACAAACTCCTGCTTTGGATACTCATCTCCAGGACAGTTACTCAATTTTTGGTAAGTGGCATCTCAGATAGTTGGGTCCACTGAGAATAAGAGAAATGTGCTATAGAACTCAAACAGTAACAGAATTGTATTAATTATAAATAATACACTTACTTTCATTGCAGTAAGTTTCAGGGAAAAAAAAAGCACTGATCTACAAAGGAGAATTTGCAGCCTTTGGCCAAATACGAAGTGGAAATCACATAAAACAGCACTAAAGGAACAAATGAGCAAATTTCTTCACATGGGAACTTTGGCTTTCACTGGCTATTAGTGGAAATTGCAAAATGCAAAGCTCTATGGGATACTAGACCCTCATTTCAAATTTTTAATTCATTGTTTAAAAACTTCACACACACACACACACACACACACACAGTTATGGCATGGCCTTGCTCAGCTGTATATGTGTAACCCCCTTTATCCCTCTGAATCAATCATTATTTCATTATTGAAGTATTCTCTTAGATTGCCTGATTTTCCAGGGTTAGTCTCTTGGGGAATTCAAACTAAAAAAAAAAAAAAAAAACTTTAATAGAAAAACAGTGCTCTGGAATTGATGAGAGAATTTTTTCTACTTACAGTCTCCCTCCCCTATACTCAAAATAATATCAGACAGTACTTAAAGTATCAGGGGAGGGGAGGGCAAGAGTTTTCAGAAAATACTGGGCAATACATTGCGATTCAGATTCTCACTCCCGGTACCAAAGGACAGTTAGTGAAAAAATAGCGAACGCCTTCCTCACGATTGGTTAAAACCAGATGATGAATTTTCATATCAATATGTTTCTAAAGACAGGCATGAATGCTTGAAACGCGCAAAAATAATTTACTCTTCAGTCTCAGATACACAAATATACTTAAGAAAGAGAAGTTTTATTAGGGCAATTTCACTTTATTTTTCCATACAGCAAAGTCAACTACTGCAGTAATAATAAAATAAGCATAAAACAAATTGCAGCCCAAGACAAAATACATAATTTTAAGCAACTACAAGCAGAAAGTAAGTTGTGATTACATAATAGTAAAACCAAGCACATCTGTCCTTTCAGCAGATGAAAGCGGGAGGGTTGCTGATAAGTGCAACATGATAACCAGCTGGAGTGAAGGCTGGATACACAAATTCATTAAACAAGTGCCCATTATCACATTTGCTTTTTTGAGTGCTTCTGAGTTGAAAATTAAAACCGTGAAATTTGAACTGTGTTTTACTTTTCACCTGCTGAAAGAACAGGATCCTACGGCAATTAAGAAACAATCACATAACCATGGCTACGGTGTATTGTTTGGTTTGCCTGCTTATGGTTTAAATTTTGTGAAAGTCAATACTTGTTTTGAAGATTTCTTTTTTTGTGTGTGTGAACAATAAACCACTGAAATTGGCAGAAACTGATTTGTATAATATATGTCCTTAGTATAGTTCTTTCTCTCTTGTTGTTGTTTTTTTTCGTTGAAGTTTTAAACATGCAGTAGTTTTGAAAAATGTACGGAATATCTGATCCATGATTTCACCTTAATGGTTGAAGTACCTGCTATTTTTGGTAATGATCTTCAGGCAGATTTGGCCCAATGGAGTTTTTGTCAGTCATGAGATCTCGGAAGGATGGCATATCTTTCCAGCTGAAAAAATCCTGGCAAACTACAAGCTGTCCACAATAAAGCAAAGCAACATGTTTGAAGGGATATGGAGTGCTAACTCTGTGCCACTTTTGCAAGCAATTTTGCTCAGTCTGTCATTTTATTAGCCTTAACAAAACTCCTTGTAATTATAGACGTTTTTATTCAAAATAAGATCTTACTATTATACAGGTTTCTCTCTTTTGACTATATACAGAAGTGCAAAAAGTCAACCTTCTCTCTAGACGTTCCAACATGCTAAATTGCAGCATAATCAACCCTCAAGAGTTTGCACACACGCTATAATTCTCATTACGTAAACTTTGAGTATTTGGATTATCAACAAAAAGTCCCTTGTTCTATTTATTGATTATGCAGCTTATTTATAACAAGGCCTGATATTCAGGGATTTCAAAAATATTAAACAATACTTTAACATTTGAAATGGATACAGTAGAAAATAAATTTTATTCTAATATCTAGGATCTAGATCTTCTTATAATAACTAATTACAAACAAAATAAATCATCAAAATATTACTCAATTGTCTGCCAGGATTGTTGCGATAGCAACAACTTAACTTCTTACTTAGCAATGATTATATATTTATAAGATATCCATATAAAAGATCTTTGTTCTTTTAATGAAAACTAGACAAGAACTAACAATGACTGACATTCTTACACTTTAATATTAAATCAGTAAAATATAAATCATTTAGTTAACAATAATACGAATATTCGTATGACACTACATGTAATTCAAAACTGAGTATGTTATGAAGGAAAAACTACTTTAATTTTTTTTGTATTTTGAAAAATTCATCGGTAAAATCTAATAAAACAATAGTCTATAAACTGAAATGGTATTCAATTGTTAATAGAAAATGAAATCTAATAAATGTAGGAAATGAAAAACTACATTTTAACAAGAAAAATAAGTAATATTCTATAATGTAACTAACTACAATAACATGTGAAGTCACCATTACTCTCTTAACATGATTGAAATTACATTGGTATGGGTTCCAACCCGTAATGTAATAATCTAAGGCTTTAATAGATGTACAGTACAATCAGTAAAATCAACACATCAGTCTTATATTAGAAAGCATCTCTCTCAAGCATAAAAACTTGCAGTAAACTTGGAAGTATGGAAAGTTCTATAACCGAACTTTCACTTCTCCCATTCCACACTATAACTACCAGTGACCTAGCCCCTACTTCAGCAATTTTTAGAACCGCTGAACAGAGCAAAAATATCCTTTACTAGCTGCAACATCCAAACCACAAAAAAAAGGAATTCCTTTGGATGAATCCATTCTTAAAAACTGAATGCACATCTATTTTTTTTTTAATTTTGTAAAAGGCTTTCTAAGGCTATAAGCAGTTAATCAGAACAAAACAAAACAAAACAAATCACATATAAAATTCACCCATGTACTTAACCCACCCAATTACTAGGTTAATTAAACATTTCCCATTTTCATATTTTGGTTTATCATGCATCTGATGACAGTGCTGCTTTCCTCTTTGTTTAGAGTCACTATTTTAAATGTGACTGTGATGAAGCGTTTAAGCAAATGTGAAACCATTTTTGCAAAGCATTTATAGTCTTTTGACTTTTGACAGAGCTATAAATAGAAGCAAAATAATTTCCTCAAACGTTTTTTTCGTTATCGTGTCTCAGAAATGGCATATCCCTTTTGAATAACATGTTATACAGTATAGTATGCAGAAATATTACACTACAATGCATTAAAATAATTTTATATATATATCTATTATATATATCTCCAGTATGTGTGAGTTTATCTGTATTGAGAGAGTTTGTGTTGTGCTGTCTATTGTTACTGCAAAGTTAAATTGGCCATTTCTGAGACAGCTTTGGTTTCAAAAAAAAAGAAAAGAAAAAAAAAAAGAATGGTGCCCTTTGACTGATTAGTACTAGCAGATAAGCAACAAAATGTGGCTCTGAAAACAATAACACTGAAGAAATAATACTCTAATTTGATATACAGTCTATGGCACTTCATGAGAATCCTTAACAACATGGTACTTAAAGCCATGATGTGCTTTAAAAGATACACAGTTGTGGTTTTGCTTGGCACATTCATCTCTGTCAGATCCCTCCCTCACCGCATCTTAAAATCTATTACATTAAAAATATTACTCTCAAACAAAAATGACTGTGCATGCACGCCCTCATCTATAATGGCAATTTTAAATACAAGGTGCACCTTTGTTATTTGTAAACCTTGAAAGAAATAAACTTATTTTTAAAAAATTATATCTTGGTCTACAGACGTACCAATACATAATAGAATCATGGTTACACCACAGTCTGTCTTTTCAAGATGGCATGAATATATAGGAAACTAATTAGGTATGCATATTTTAATGCATAACTCTGTGCTAGAAAAGAAAGACGATGTTGTTCTTTTAGACAGGAATATCACCTCAGCACAAATATCAATTAAATGTACAAAGTGTATAGGCAACAGTGTGCAGTGGATTTCCATGGTGTCTTTTCTTCTGGTTAACATGCAATATGTGGATGTCTTGTGGCTGAGGGGTTTTTGTGTGTGTTGCTTGACGGTATATACAATATGGCTAATGACCTCGTCCTTTACTCTAACCAAGCACACTGTCCTTTCCTCTTTAGTATGATCTACAAGGGAAGAAGAGATAAGCTTTGTTAAAACAGACAATAAAGCAGTTTCCAATATCTACTGAATATGAAAATTGTATTTCTTGATTTCAAGTGTAAATACACATATGTCATTCTAGCTTCATATAAAAACAAAAAACACTTCACAAGTACAAGTGGACCTAAATTTACATGTCTAAGAGAATAACAGGACATGCATACTTAATAAAATTGTGGGCTTTGCTCAAATATTACCCAATACTGAGTTAAAAGTATAAAATATATTTGCAGAATCAAGGGGCAGAATGTAGTAGAGCTCTTTTTGAGCGCCATCATTGGGGGGCATAATTTAAGCTCACTTTAATTCGTCTCTTTTATGGTTTAATAGGTTTCAGGAGTAATCATCTGGTCCTACAAAATTAAAATCCATGCAACAATAAGTCCTATTAAGCATGACTCATCATATTTGGGTGCTTCATTAGCACAGTACATGTTTTGGGGAAAAATTATACTTTTAAGTAACTGTTTTGGATAAAGTTTGGGATTTTTTTCCCCCCAAAGCCAGGAAAAATAAGAATCTCTTATGCTCCTGACAAATTAAGGTGGAAGAGATATTAGAGTGTACTTGTGAATGAACAGTTCCAGTTTTTACATGAACTTTGTTCTCATCAGAGGATCTTTAAATATCAAAAGTATGCTTTAGAATACAATCTTGCAAATGAAAGAAGTCACCATTTTGCTACACTCAATAACCAGTTTAATTACTGCAACTACTCATGAAAATGAGCAATCATTTGATAAATAAACAGAACATTAAGACTCTAAGCTTCAAAACAGACACATCCACTGGTTTGCTAATTGATGAACTTACGGCCACTTGGTATCATTTTTTTTCGACCTGGATTATGGCTCAGAACTAAACATAGTTACATATATACATTCCAAACATACCCAATTGACTACAAAAGCTTAAAGTCGATCTTTTTTAAAACATGTCAAAAGGAGAACTTTTCTTCCAAACCCACATACTACAAATAATGTGCTTATTCAAAAATGTGGCTCTTGTTCAGGATAATTTATTATCAGATTATTGAGAAAGCTTTTGAAGTAGACAAAAATCATGTTCAATAATTTAATTCATGATTGCAGCATGTCTTTGGTAGTACTTCTTGGATGGCTCCCAAATTGTGTCTATCTTCTTCTCCTGCATGGGCTCAACCTTTGTCCAGTTATTGCTGTGGATTATGATCACCAGGGCCTCAGAACTGGTTCTCCGCCACCATCTTCTCACTCACACACCCTTCTTTGGAAAGGCCCTCCCTCCTCCCTTCCCTCCATAGCAACTGCCGTTGCCCCAATTCACTTATTTGCTGACTCTGCTGGAAAAAGTTGCTCCTTCATCTTTGCTCCAAGAGAAATTTGTTCAAAGCTCTCGTATTTTAAAGATTTATTTATTTATTTATTTGACAGAGAGAGAGACACAGCGAGAGAGCGAACACAAGCAGGGGGAGTGGGAGAGGGAGAAGCAGGCTTCCCGCGGAGCAGGGAGCCCGATGCGGGGCTCGATCCCAGGACCCCGGGATCATGACCTGAGCCGAAGGCAGATGCTTAATGACTGAGCCACCCAGGCGCCCCAAAGCTCTCGTATTTTAACATAGTGTGCTGAAATTTCCATCTTTATCTCATTGTCTATTCACTTTATCTCATTGACATGGTAGCACATAGTAATACATAGCAGCACGAGAAAATCATTTGTAAGTGTGTTCATGAACAGATACATGGAGGGAAGCAACAAAGAAGGATCACCCATCTTATTACCAGATTCAGTTTTAAACACGGTGGCTCTTTTTAAGTATAAAGAATATTCTGAGCAGATATGATAGATTGAATGCATGTATTCTGAATAAAGCAGATCCTCTACGGATGAAAAAGGCCACCTTTCACAAGTATCTAAGTCAATGTGTCTGAAGGAAAATTACAAGACTTTCAAATTATTTTTTGAGCAATGGCAACATCTTCAGAATCATGCAATCCTCTAAGGTGACTATTTTGAAGTACCTAAAATTCATTCGGAGATGTAGATGTATGTGTATGCACAGATGTGAGTGTGTGTATACATCTAATTAAAGTCCAACTCTTGGGCGCCTGGGTGGCTCAGTCATCTGCTTTCAGCTCAGGGCATGGTCCCAGGGTCCTGGATTGAGCCCCGCATTGGGCTCCCTGCTCAGTGGGGAGCCTGCTTCACCCTCTCCCTCTCCCTGATGGCACAATTTATCTCCCTCCCTCCCTCCCTCCTCCCCCTACCTGTGCTCTCTCTCTCTCCCCCTCAAATAAATAAATAACATCTTAAAAAAAAAAATAAAGTCTGACCTCTTTACATTCAAATAACCCCGTGTGCGCGCACGCGTGTGTGTGTGTGTGTGTGTGTGTGTGTGTGTGTGGTAAAGCATGGGGGGAAGTGGGTACATGTTCCCATTTAGGATTTAGCAAAAAATTAAAAAATATTTAAAAAAATGACCTACACCAGGGCTCAGCAAACTACTACCTATGGGCCAAACTGGGCCTGCTGCCTAGCTTTGTAAATAAAGTTTTATTGGGACAGAGCCACACACTTTCATTTCCCTATCATCTCTGGCTGCTCTCATGCTACAGGGGCAGAGCTGAAGAGCTCCAACAGAAAAGAGTGGCAACAGAAGCCATGTGGCCCACACAACCACAAATATTTACAACCTGGGCTTTTCAGATCGATACCATCTATAGTTTTAAGTCATATTTTTTCTTCATGCTTGTGTTTATTTCTAATAAAAATAACAATCTAATCAACAAAATTTATTTTCCCTAAGTATTACGTATATCTTAGTGATTAGTATTACGTATATTTATGTATTAGTATTACGTATATTTATGTATATTTAGTGATTAGTATTACGTATATTTAAGTGATATTAACATATGTATTATAAATGTGTATAAAATTCCTCATAACCCATTTAAGATAAAAATAAAAGATATAATAAAGATAAAAATAAGAATAAAAAATAAAGATAACCCATTTAAGATAAAAAGTCCTTATTCCACTTAAAACCTTCAGTACTGAAACAGATGCTGATTTCTAAGTACATTCATTCACCGAAGCTTTGTTTAATTTGTCTGTACCGTCTACATACAGAACTGTGCCAGTCACTAGGCAGGTGTTCAGTAAGTATCTGATGATACTGAATTTAAAAAATAATTAAAATAAAACATATAAATATTTTCTCATAAAAATTTCGCAAAATTCTCTGCAGCGCATCATACCAAGGTTATCTTAAAAAACCACTACGAATAAATACACACTATATATGACATAAGGAACTTACTGTTTAGTGATGAAAATTCTACATCTGGGTTACATACTTGTGGCTAGTCAGATGTTCGGCAGATATTATGGGTATCTAGCAAATAAAAAATTATCTGATGAATGATCCATGCAAGCAAGCCAACAACCAAGAGATGAAAACATTTTAATATTAAATTTATTTAAGAAAAGTGAAATTCAGCTGTGAGGTGACAGTCCTTATCTGGCCAACATAACAGTAAGTTAATGTAAACTTAATATCAAGGTAGCAACTCATTGTTTAAAATCTTTGTGTTAAATACTATTCTATAAATGTTATCAGTTTTTAGGAAGTAAGAGAAGTAAAACTATTAAAAATTCATGCACAGCAGTAATTGAAAGAAGCCCTTTTTGTTGGCCTACACACACACACCTGTGGTTTCACTTATGCAGTCATCCAGAAATCAAAGTAGGAAATTCCTTGCCTACTTTTGTGCAACCAATTTCTAACATTTTTGTTCAACTTATGGTTTCTAGCTTTTTTTTTTAAATTAAAAATACGAGGTAAGAATTTTAAAGGAGTACTTCAAAGGAACCCGATAGGAGCCTAGGTTCATTTCGGAATCCATTTCTGAATCCTGATGGCACAATTTATCGTATTATAAATGGGCACGAGAATTTAAAAAACTTGAGAGAAAATATAGTAGGAAATCAATATAGAGGTGCCTCATTGCAATGGTCCCCAAAGCAATGACCTTCCAATTTGTAGCCTGATTCTCCTCCAACCCAGCACTGTGGCCGCTAACCTGGGAGCAGGCAGCACAGTAGCGTGAGGCAGTCAGAGGACTGAAAGCACAGGTTCTAACCCTAGTGGATCCATTTCTTGGCTGTGTAACCTTGAGCCAAGCACTTAATTACTCGATGCTTAAAAGCTTCTTTGTCTGTAAAATGGCGCTCATCCCATCTCAGCAAGGGTGATGGGAGAAGAGCGAAATCATGTCCATGAAGGCATTTCGTCGTTGTTGTTTCAATTTAGATGTCCTAGACTAATGCAACATATTACAATCCACAGTCTGGAGTATAAATTAATATGCTTCTATTTTATTTCCATTTCTCAGCTGACATCTTTACACAATTTTACAGCATTGGCAAATGGCACGAAAATGTGCTCCAAGCATAATGAAGCTTCTCATACCATTTTTCCTGCTGCTGCAGGACAGGATGTTGCACCCAACAGTGTAGAAGCATCAAGGATGGGGCTGTCGAAACATACCAAGGACCTTCAACACCAATCGATGCAGATGAAGGGCCAGCTATAAACTTCTGCATGCATGCAGGCTGCATTTTGTGGCATCAGCTATTTCCAGCATTGCTAATATACTGTAGGCATATACATATGTATGTATATGTAGATATAATATATGTGTCTATATATATATCCATTTCCCTTTTCTTTCTTTTGGTTGTAAAACAGTATGAAGACCCAAGATTATGCATGAAATGGTCACAGCACAATGCAAAAAGTAAAGTGTCCCCTACAACCCAGGTGGCCCAGGGCATCTTGGAATTTGCTTTGCTATATAGTTCGGCTTACACCAGCAATTCTGTCGTCATACGTGGTAAATGCACAGAGCTCAGCATCATCAATTTGCACCATAAATGGATCGCGTTGAATCCATTAAGAAATTTCTGCCATAGATTACTTACTAACATGCCACATATGCACAATCTAGAATTCTTGTAAATGAGTCTGATGTGTTAGCATAAATCCAGGGCTATTTTGACAAGCTTCGGAAAAACTAATGGTTTTTTGCCAAGAAATGTTTAAAGCTTGCCTGAAACTTTAAAATACATCCATTTTGGCAGGCTGCTTTTGAAAGTTTTTAATGGCTACGCTAATAGCTTATGGTTCTTCAGCAGGATGTGGGGTCCGGCGGAGAGCGGGGTACCTGCTTCTCACGGCAGTAAATACCAATTCAGATGGCACTTAATTGGCCTTCTCTGCCCAAGGGGCCACATGCTGACTCCTTTGCTACATTTACCTGTAGTCTGTGGGTTATGTGAAACTTGATTTGGCTCTAGATTTTTTCACATAGTATTAACCGTACTGAACTTTGCTTTTGTAACAAACACACCTATATGTTAAAGCTAAAACCTCCTTCACCTAAGTTTGATTTTGATTCAACCGTTATTTTCTAGGGCACAATTTAAAATAGGATCAGAGAATGCTGGCTGAACCAAGGTCAATTTTTAAACTTTAAATATTTTAATAATCATTTTCTTTTAAATAGTTATTCTTATACGTCACAAAATTCAATTTTCTGAAACAGATCCCACTTACTTACGAGTAAACTGTGAAACCATTACTCCACAAACATGGATGGAACACAGAATGACTCAATTTACCATCTTTGATGTCTTTTTTTCCTTCGTAACTCTCCAAAATCTATGCTGGCTAATTACAGAAATAAGAGCGCGTGGGGTTTTTTTTGTTTGTTTTTGTGTTTGTTTTTCCTTGAAAGCATTGAGAATCAAAACCTGGACGCCAATTTAAATTATTTTGAACATACAGTCTGCTTATCAAACAAAACCATCATGAATTTGTAACAAACTCTATTTACAAGACTGGTCATTTGTGGCATATATAACGTATTTTTAAACATTTTGCCTTTTATTAAGAATTTAGGCAAGAACTAAGAGACGGTATATACCAAATGTTTATAATGAACACCTAAAATTAGCTGCATTTTTGACCGGTCAAAATCCCTGCACGATGGAGACCCAGTGAGAATTGCTTGTGTAAATATCATTTTAGTAGCTTTAGAAACGGAGCCGCGACAACTCTGGAGCACTTATAAATGGCATCGAAGCATTCTGCTGCTCATCATAGAGAGAATGTGTAGGCCAACAAGAGGTATCTTTGAAACCCCATGCTATTAAAGCACCCACCACAGCCCTCACGTACACACGATTCCCACTGACCTCAATGGGAAAGCCACGTGCGTAAGGGCTGTTGGACCGAGCCCTATTAGAGTTGGTTTTTAAGAAACAAAGCTGTAAATTAGCAAACCTGGTTGGCTGTGGCTGTTGCAGCGAAGGGAACACTTGTGGCAGATGTTGTTGCTGCGGACACAGTGGCTGGCGTAGCACCGTGCACCATGGGAACTTTCGGAGGGAAAATCAGATAAGCAAACATACAGAAGAGTGTAGCAATATGGAAACCATGGCAACATGGAGGCGATAATTGGGCATGGTATTTATCACAGCAATAAGCCATGTGACGGGACATCATCACCAGCGAGTGACATGCAATCACAGCGCAAAGCAGGACAACATTCCAAGGAGAGAAGGGGAAGGGGGATGAAAGAGAAAAAAAAGGGGAAAAAAAGCTTGTTACCATCAAATCAAGAAAATTGACACAACAGGCTTAATTTGCTACGTCAAAAACTAGAATTTTATATAGTGTTCACAGTCAGACATTCAAAATCTACATCAAAATACAGGTCTTTACTTCATTTATACAGTTATCTGTTTGAATGAACGTATTTTTTATTTATTATTATAAAAATACACAATATATTACTTTTACGATACAGATTTTTTTTTTTTTTTTTTTACACACCAGAACTCATAGTCCAATCAAAATCCACCAAAGGTGACTAAAGGAAACTTGTGTGTAAAGAAAACATTTATGTGAGTCCATGTCAATTAAATAGAAAATGGCATTTAATTGACAGGTGTTAGTAAAAGGGAAATGGACTTGCCCAATAGATATAAGTTAAAACTTAGCAGTGGATTTTGAGGGGCTGTGAGGTGCACCATAGGTTTAAGATAATCAAGAAACAAAGCTGGGACCTACCAACACTTGTAGCGGGTGTCATGCACAATATTGAGCCTGCCCATCATGCATTGCAACAGGAAGGTGGATTTGAAAAGGGAAAAGAATTAAAACATCCCATCACACGTGTCATTAGGAAATTCATTTGAACAAAGAAGAAAAATTGTTATTATGGGAACAGTGGCATGTAACTGTCAGCACAATCAAATCATACAATAGCACAGTGATCAATTAGAACTAGTCTCAAGTGAAGAATAAAAGCCAGTTTAACTGTGTGCTGGTACACTTTGTTTCTCCTAATCGCTGCCTAAAAATAAAAGTATTTTGGGAAAAGTTCGGACTTGCTTCATTCTTTTAAAAATCATATTGTAATTTGTTTTGTTTTAATCTGGTTACTAGCCATCTGGCGGCTCTGCTATTTCTGACTTTAACATATGACTGCATTGCACATTTTCTTTATATCGCCCACATGTTAAATAATTAGAGAAATTATTTATTACTAAAATGCTAGATAATCCAATGCACAAAACTGGCTTAACGATGTAATAAAACCAAAGTACTCATTTTCATTCCCTTGGTTTTATTTCCCTGCTCACTCTAGCAGCAACCACACAGACATGGAAGGGGTGGCGATCATCCATCCGTACAGGGATTTTATTTGGAGGGATACCAAGCAATAAATTATGCATAAAGAGAAAGTGAAACTTCTGCATTGCCTTTGTTTGGAATTTAAATGTAGAAAAAACCTTTAGAGGGGATCTACTTATAAGTCTCAGAGTGGTTTGCTTAATAGGCAGCTGGGGAAACAGACTGGTTTTCACTGCTGGGTTAGACCTTCAGGACTTCCTGGAAGAGCAAACGTTCTAGAAAATTGCACATACAAAAAATCGTTGATTAGACTTCAGTGAAAACCCTGAATGGGAGATAATGAAGATATCTGCATCGCATATGGGGGGTTAACAGTGATGTTTCCATCGTTCCAACCATGGTGTTAAAGTATTATGTATATAGGCCCCGTTCTCTTTTACATATAAACAGTACAAAATGTAATTTTTTTTTTTACCAAGCACAGGGCACTTCCCCACATAAAGAACTACTGTTCTTTCTCTGAGATTATTTTAGATTTCTAGGTTTTAAAATATCAAATGATTTTATATTTCTATCTAAATCTTGGCACATCCTATTTAAACACTAGCAGCATCTGGGATGAACATTTGTTAGAAAAATATCTGCCAATTGAGTCTTGTCAGAGATGGCCCTACAAAACAAAGCTGCCATTGAGAAACACAGATTACTGAGCTGGCATCCCCGTAACAGCTGCAATTAGTCTGTTATCACAACTGGACCGTGGGCACAATGATCAGTGATTCAGCTCGGCCAAGGAGCAAGGGAGGCATCCTCTCAGGTGGAGTGATACTACCCTGAAAGGCATTTTTTTTTTTTTTTTTTTGAGACACTTGAAGATCTCTATCATTTGCTACTGCTACCGAGTCAAAGACTTGTGAAAGACAACAACAAAAACAGACCAGTAATAACAAAGACGTTAACTGGAGACAGTAGAGCAAGCGAAATTTAATCCTGGGTCTAGATCCTGTGAAATCATTATCCTCTCAAGGTGGGGCACGAAGACTGGGAAAGAGGAATGAGAGAATGAATGAAAAACAATAATGTGGTATTCAAGGAATATTAAAGCCAGTTTAAATACTGTACAGGTCCTATGTTTTAAATTTACTGTTTGTTATTATGCTGCAATTTGCCTATTCTATTTCATCCCGTGCATAATTTAGCCTGCACATGCTGAAAATGAGTTAACTCTCCTATCTGTCTAAAGCTTCTATGATTTGAATTTTAGTTTGAGTTATCTTCCTCATTACCATTATAACCAGTGCACACAGTTTTGAGAGGGATTTGCAGCAAATAAACATAAGGCAGCAATGAAAACGCTAGCCAGGTGCAATAACTCACAAAAATGAAGACATAATGCTGTAGGACCCACTTACCAAAACCAAAAATCACTTTGAAATGACCGTAATATCCATCTTTACATCAAATTGGGTTGATTTACTAGTAACGATGCACAAATAGCCAATTGAAATTTTTTTCTTTAATTTTCAACACAAGGCAAATTTTAAGTGAATGTATTTGTCAATTTCAAATTTCCCCTATGAAGATATTTGCATAGCAGAATGATGTGTTTTTGAGGAATGCTTTACTATTTGAAGATGCAGGGAAAACAAGTAGGAAGGTAATTCACAAATGCGATACATGCACAATTAAAAATACTTCAAGGAGAAGGGAAAGAGGTAGAAGAGAGAAAAAGGATTTTAACGGAGACTTGGTTGGAGGTTTGAATTTGGATGTGGTAATTCAAGCCTATGTATGGCTAGAAGTATAAAGCTGATTTAGGGTCTTCTAAAATTTGTATCATTTAGGACTAAACTTGTGTCATTTAGGGCTCAAAGTTCACAATCAATTGAATTATTCTCAAAATTGATATCCAAATCAGCAACAGCTTCATACAGTTTATTTGTTTCTATCCAATGTTTTGAATTCTATTCGATTGCACTACTGAATTCAAGAAATAACAAATAAAACCTAGCGCTTATTACATTCCAGGCTTTATTCTCAACTCTTAGACCTGCCTATGAAAGTGCTTTAAGAGAATGTTATATGAAATTGTTTAAAACTCATTTAAACCCAACCTTATGAAATAATTACCATTAGTATCCCCATTTTATAGATTAAAAAAAAAACAAGGTATGGAGAGAGATTATAACTTGTGGTGGAGCTGGATTTAAACTCCCAAGCCTGATTTATAATCACTGTGCTGAGTTTCAAGTAAACCATCTGCATTAATTTCATTAATTATAATAAAAGTGACAAGCTGGAAAAAAAAAAAGAATTTTTTTCTCTGTTTTCAGCCCCTTGCACCTCCCCTCTCACTCCCACCCCCACCCCCAAAGAAAATTTCCTGGCCTTCTATTGCTTTCTATCTGGTAAGTTGCAACACAAGCCAAAGCTGAAGTTGCTTAAAGCACATGTATTTTTAGATGGTTTTAAATCACAAGCCCACACTGAGGGCAATATACTAGGAGGAGAGAAGGGAGGTGTGTTTCTGAGGTTAGGAAGTAAGCACAAATGGTGAGGGAAAGCAGGGAGAAAAATTCCTCAAGATTCAGAGGAGAGGAGTCTGCAGGGTCGTGAGTAGTTGGACACATGGCCTGTTCTTCCACAACCACCCCACAGGCACAGGCTGTCAAGGGAATGGGTTGCTTATGAGGCTAAGGCGCTCAGGCAGGCATGCCTGTACCCAAGGCAGCCTCAGGAACTCTGGAGTGCCTGCCTCGCTGAGACCCTGTAAGCATGGGCAAGGATCACACCAGCGTGACCAGTGCTCGCTAAAGATGGAGAAGGGGCAGCCTGTCTACCCTACTGGACCTCACAGGACCTCTCTTTGAGGGTGGGGATGGGAGGGAGGAGATGTGAGAAGGGGTTTCTGGAATCCTAGCAATGTCTGGTATTTCTATCCAACACAGTGAGCTTAGAGTTTAGAGGCAGACTTAATTTAAATTCAAGAAAATAAACTGATGTACATAACAGTAACATTTCTTACCTACTCTAATCTCGGGGCTGAAATTCATACCTACAACCTAAGTAGACCCAAGATTATGCATGATCTGTATGAATATTCAATTTAGTCTTAAAGGGTGAAGATTTAAAAAAAAAGTAGTATATATCTAAAACTTAAAAAAAAAACTTGAATGTGAACTTAATCTAATATTTGCATTTATTTTTAAATGAGATGGAGGGTATAAAACACCAGTAATGGAGTCAGGTTATCAATAAGGCCCCATTCATCTTTTAGGCCAAATCATTTTTTAGGACTTCATGTAAAGAGCTCACAGATGTTAAGAGACTGACTGAGACCCACTGCCGACCCGATTTCAAGTTCTAGCTAAACCTTACAAGCCATGCAACTTGGAGCAAATCACTGGACCTCTCTAGGCGCCAAATTACTCATTGGTAAAATGGGACTATTAATGCCAACCTTTCAGGGTTGTTGTGAGAACAAATGTGAGATAATGTATATAAAGTATCCAGTGTAGTATGGCACAGAGCAAACACTCAACAGAGGTAGCTCTTTTGAACAAAATGTGTGAAACAACTGGGCCAGAAGCTGTAGGGAGTTGTGGAGCTTGGAACTGGACAGCATGCAGACCTTCTAAAGGATTGACATTTTGTTTTTAGTTAAACACCCCTAGACAAATATTTCTGGATTCTAGATTTAGCTCCTGGGTCGTAAGTTTGTAATCCCTAGTGCCAACACTTGTCTACCATGTGGCATTGATTCAATGAATGGATGAAGGGGTGGGCGGGTGGATGGATGGATCAATGAGTGGGTGGATGGGTAGATGGATGGATGGAAAACGGGGAAGGAAAAGAGGAAGGGAGGGAAGGGGGGTGAGAGACAAAGGAGGGAAGGAAGATAAGAAGGAAGAAGAGATAGATGGAAGGATTGATGGATAAACGGATGCATGCACGCATGGAGGGATGATAGATGGGTAGATGCCACATAAGTCCACTTTTGTTATTAAAAGTTATGATATATAGTAATTTTTTTTTAGCTAGCTACCTGGCTTGCCACTGAAGCCCGATCTTTTGCCGGCAACCTAGTCTGTATACAATCACCTCCTCTAATGATTTAGACAACTATGCTTCACCGTAACTTCAACGGAATAGACCTACATACCACTGAAGTTATTAGTGAAGCAAGAGACTACAGAGCTCTAAAACTCTAAGCTACAAAAAAATAAATAATTTCTATTTTCTTTACAGTTCCAATAGAGCCTTCAGAATATACCTTCCAAATTATTATATTGTGGGCAGTTAGGATGCTCTGATCATATAATTCATCTGTATGTCTGCAGAATAACATAGTCTTTGGAAAATAAACTTCCTTTTCTCCCAGGTATTATATATGAGATTACATCAATTTGTGGCAGGACGGATTTCCTGTAGTTCTTAAAGAGCATTTAAAAATTGAATTAGTTGGAAAAATTTTAAAACTTGAGAAATTTCACGTATAAACATCCAAATGAGGTGAATAACTAGAAAAAAAAAAAAAAAGTCACAAGATCTGGCAACCCTGGACATCAGGGCCACTACATTAGATTGTGCAGGCTTGCATGGGAGGCAGAGACACAACTACCCTATAAAGTAGATGGAGCCACAAAGGATATGCAGTGTACAACAGGTACAACCTGCCAGGCAGATATTATTCCTCTGAGGCAATTAAAGGCTAAGTCAAAACATTCACCGTCCCCCTTTAGATTGGGCCTGTGCTCCCCAGTGCCTCCCAGGCCCCACAGTTCCTAATTTATTTCTTGTTCCATTTGTTTATGTTTCCTGCCTGGCCCCTAAGGCATTTTAGTTTACATTCTCTGCATTACATTTCTTTCCCTTCTGGCTGGCTGACAAAGTAGTTTGGCAGAAGTAAAGACGGGTTATCCATTTTAACCTTCTAATGTCATACAGCCAATTTTTTTGTACTCAAGCACATATGACAAATAATGACAATAGTTTAAAAGAATGACTAAGGTTTTACCTACTTCTGATTATGTGACTAATAAAGGTTAAGCCCTTTAAAACTGGGTTACAAATAGGTGTAATTTTATATTACTATTGCAATAATTTCATATCATATTTATTAGAAATATCAAGAACAGAATATAGAATATCTCTGACGCAAAATTCATCATAAAAATGCAGATATATCTTAACATTTTCAGCACACTTCAATATATCGTGACACATTTTATTTAAATTACCAGTGCTTAGTTTCTAGAACAGAAAGATAAGTATGATTTTGAATTATGAATGTGTTTATTGTTTTTCCCTAACTTGATCCTTACTTAGCTTCTTTTGCTCTGTCTTATCCACACACTAAAAGCCTTTCTAGGGAGAGATTACTGTCATAAATATCATTGCATAAACTCAATTAATGGTTAAGCTTATTTAGAAAAGTCCTTAGTCATCAGAATGTTGTTGGAGAAACTAACATAAAACCCATGTAATAAGACAGATATGTTAGATTTCCTTAAATGATATACGGAAGAAGTTAGATTCTTGTATTAGATTTTAAAGACACTCACTTTGAATGGCAATGTTTTATTCAACGAAAATAAGCGGACAAAAATAATCTTTAATTTCTTGAAAGAGATTATGGTAGCTACCCACAATCTCTTTAAACTTTAGTGATCTGGCCATAGAAAAACTGATAGATTATTTATTGAAGATGGCATAAATCTAGGGGCATGGCAATTTTTATATAAAAGCAAAAAGATTAAATTCTGGAAATCTCCAAAAACCTATATATGTTGAGAAAAAATTTTTAATCTTATAAAATATAGGAGAAATATACAAGATACAAGAGAGATTTTCTCCTCTGAATGCATAAATACCTTACAGATCAAAATGATTTAATTTGTATTCTACAATGGACAAACCGCAACTTGCTAGATAGATCTTACTTCGTGAGTACAAACATTTTATCCACGGTGCCTAAGGCATATGCTATTTTAATTCATGGAATACTCCAGATACTCCAGTTCACTGAATGTTGCTACATATTCTATATCTGGATGGCCAGGTTTTGGAGATGCACTGTATAAAAAGCTGTGCTTAGCAGTAAAAATTACCGTGAATGTAATTTATTCTTTTGTTCATGATTCAAAAATAAATGATCACATTCCCCCATGGCATTATGAACCTAATGCATTTAAATACTGTCAATATAGGGTAATATACTAATGATGCTGGACCTCTGACCTACACACCTTGTCACTCATTTATTAATTTAATTAGTAAGATAAAATCATTTTATTAAATACATCTCTGAACCCACGGTAGTTATTTCAGAAACGTTGAGGGAAAGAGGAAAATGGGATTAGTCTCCAGTTAGTTGAGTTCCAGATTATGAGAAGTTTAAAGTGTATTTTCTGAAATAATATGTATTTTCAGGTTTTAAGAAGTTTAATATGTATTTCTTCTTCTGTACAAAGAGTAAAAATAATAAATTTTCAAGTAATTAAATGACTGATTGTTTCTAAATTTTATATCCTCGTGGATAGCTCTAGAGTATATTTATGTGACTAAGCTGAAATCAACTGAAACCACAAATGTATAACTCAATAGTAGATGTAAACTTCCCTGGGCACTTAGGAGAATTTCAATATTAGCTCAGGAGCAAATAATGATTTTAAGCAATGTACTGATTGGTACCAATAAGAGCACTTTTGAAGAGCTCTGGAACACAGAGTCAGTTTTTGTTTTGTTTTGTTTTTGTTTTTATTCTCCACCTTGAAAACAAAAAGGCTGAAAAATAAAAATCAAAACTGGAAGTGTCATTTCATCAAATTCAGATTTACTCTATGGAATCATGAAGGCAAAGGGGTCTTACAGCAGGAAAGTGTCATAAAATAGCTTGACAGACATATAACAGTGTTGAGGAAGGAGGAAAAAAAAAAAGAGAGAGAGAACTGTATTTCAATTCCAAATTACACAAACAAAAAGAAATATATAAAACATCACACTGATCTTTAATCCACTTCTCATTAAGCTAAAATTCTCAGTTTTGAAGAAAAACCACACGAGATACCTCAGGTAAGTTTCCACTGTTGACCACCTTACCTTTCACCTTATCTACGGCTAACAGCAAATTGGGGGCATGGCTTATCTGCTCTACCAGCACAACTCTCTGCAGCTCGTCAGATTCGTTCATTAACAAGTTCAGACCCCTTACCTGGTGGGAGAAATGCTGTATGTTGTTGCAACTGCATGTTGGCTAGAGCCTGTTGGTATTGGAAAATACCAGTGTTAAAGACTGCGGTGGCACCGTTGGTTTTTTCAAGAGCAGGCCTCTTTGGTAATGGGGGAAGTACAGCTTGAGGAATTCCCTGTTTAGTGAATGAGTATAAAAAACAAATACCAGTAAAAAGAGAAAAAGAAAAAAGAAAAATCAGTTGAAGGCTAAAATTGTTAGGAAGCATGAGCAAGCAAGCAGCAGAGCACTGAACTACCCAGGGGGGGAAAAAATCCAATCAACAAAAATGAAAGAAAAAAAAAAAAAAAGGCAAGATAAAAGCTTTAAAGGAAGCATTATTTTTGTCCAAAAAAAAAAAAACCCCAAACCAAACCAAACCAAACCAAAAAAAAACCCCACTAGGACGAGAGCACATGTTATAATGTGTTAAAGTGTTTTAAGTCCCATAATGCTTCAGGCTTTCTGTGAGAAGCCACTGATTTGGGGAAAGAAGAAAAGCTGCACTGCGAGCTCCATGAGGATTGACGAGTATAAGCAATGTTAATTGTTAATTGTACAGAGTGACCGAAACAGGTAAAATAAAAACTATTTCCACTCTGCTCCTCCCCCCAGACCTACCTAAACATGCAAATATCCCAGAGCATGCAAGTTTTTTTTTTTCTTAAACACTGAACTATAAATATTTAAAAATAAATAATTCTATCACTAAAGCCATGCTAACCAAACAGGTACATAAATATACAGTCAAAAATACATTTTTAATGTCCTTAAAGTATTTCACTAGAACATTCTACAATGTAGTTAAACTGAATGTGGGCTGCTGGGCTTTCGGAATCTTTCATGGTATGATATCTGTCCAGGTACTAATAGTATAGTCTTTCCACTAATTTTGTCAGGAAACCACACTCAGTTTTTCATTGTACTTTACAATTTTATAACAGAAAAAGGAATATATATTTTTAAATTGATAAAAAAAAAACTTGTATCTACAATAAAGCTACATGCCAAGCTAAAAGGTGAAAGGTCATAGTACCAGGTCAAAGGTTGCCTCGAGGGGTCGCTTCAGTGATTTGACAGCCGACTGAGTCTTAATTAGCAGGCAGCGAGCACATGATGGCAATGGGCCAGTGGGGTTCAAGCGCATTAACATAAACAGCAAGCAGAGGTGCATCATGGGGGCAGCAGTGCATTTTTGGGTAGGTGAGAAAAAACAAATAAAAAAACAAATCATCGGAATGCCATATACAACGAATAACAAGACTAAGCATGCACAATAAAGGCACTACTGAGTTGTTATTGGGAGGATAACTCCTCTTTGTAGTTAATTACAAACAAGATACTCTAACAGAAAAAAAAAAAAGAGTGAAAGGAAGAGAGGAGGAGAGAGTCTGCCTTCTGTATTTTTGCTCAAGTATCCGTAAACAAACACAGAAAAGACCTCTCTCGTGATTACTTTACTGTGCTGTGAATACCACACAGTATGTGTTATGAATATTTTCATGACTAAGTCATATATATTTATGTAAAAAAAAGGACAACATTAAAACAGCTAAGCAAAGAACAAAGAATGGACTCATTAAAATCAGCTATTAGATCACATTAAAATTTACCTTAAGAATATAGGTATCTGCTCTAAAGGATCCAATCTCTAACTCCTTGAGTACTGCTGTCTGTCTTTCTCCTTTCTGTACGATGGCATAGCCAAGCTTCTCTAGTTTGACAATTATGTTTATGCCACAACATGATTTAAGACGATCTAGGTAGCACACGGTTGAAAATCTGGTGGCTAATCCTCAGAACAATTTTGCTTAAGCAATTCTCCTAAATAGTTCCAGATTATGTTCTTGTTAAAAGCCAGATACATGTAGAGAAGAGCCTCGATGTGCAAAAGAACACACCGAAGGGGAACAACGGCTGATTAGATGGCACACAGAAAAATAAGAGGACCGAAAATGGCAGTATCGTTAAGTTGAAAAAGGAGACGGGTGTTCTTTACAAAGCGGAAATTTCAGAAACCCTATATCCAGAATAAGACAGAGTAGTAAGAGTTAGGCCAAGGGTAGGAGCAATCGGAACCATTTGAGGAGTTACCCTCACATCTGTGAATGGTTAACTTCATTATGTATTGTCGGGGATACCTGAACAAACATATCTTCAGCAAAAAAAAAAAAAGAAAAAAGAAAAAAAAAATCGAAAGGTTAATAAAGGAACAGCTTGTAGTCAGATACAGTGGTTCAGTATGGCGGCTAGCAGAGACAGAGCCGGGGCCGCTACTCACCATGGCGGCTGCAGTGGCCGCAGCCTGAGCAGCTGCAGCCTGGTTGACCTGGTACTGGGCAGCCTTGATCTTGGCTTGCAGATGTGCGGGAGGGTGAAAGTATTTGCACTTTTCCCGTGAGCATCTCCCTTTGATGTAATCCATGCACACAGTGACTGTGTTGTCATTGGTGTCAATCATTGTGCTGTCAGCAGGATGAGCAAACCGACAGTCGTTTTCTCCTCTGTTGCAATTGCCTCGCTGGTACTCTCGACATACCTACGAGGTCATGAAGCACAGGGGGCTCAGTCAACATGGGCAAAGAGAATCCTTCCGAGGATTTTGACTTAAAGTGCAAGACTGGGGGTAGAAGGCCACACGCGAAGGGGGAAAAGATCATTTGCAAAAAAAAAAAGGCACCAAATAACTTGAGTTCCTCAATGAGTGCACAAGTTATAACCCCAGCTCAGTAGGACTTCCATGAGAAAGAAAATGCATCTTTGATATGAATTAGGCAAGACATCCAATTTAAATTATGTTGAAGTACTTATTAATTACCAAGGGAAAAATAGTAACTTTACAGTGAAGAGACCTGGCAGGCCCCACTTTAACCAAGTGATCAAAGTTAATAACGCCAAGAGGAAGACATAACGGCATCATGTATCCATTGATAGGACGCACCGATAAAAAGGCCACCACATCACTTTTGTTGTATTATTGCTGAGACTGCATAACCTGAATTTAATCATGAGAAAACATCAGACAAACTGAAGTGGGGGAATGTTTTATGAAATAACTAATCAGTACTCTCTTAAAAGTATCAAGGCCGTGAAAGGCCAAGGACGATGAGACACTGTCACCGACTGAATGATCCTGGGGTCAGAGAAAGGATATTGGTAGAGAAACTGGTGAAATCTGACTGAAGTATGTAGATTGGCCAATAGCAGAATGTCACCGCCAATTTGTTTTGTAAATGATGACACGGTCGTGTGAGTAGTTAATATTTAGGTAAACCGGGTGACGGATAGGCAGGAACTCTTCATTCTATTTTTAAAACTTCTGTGCTATCTGAAATTATTTACAAGTAAAAGTATAAAAAGTAAAACTTGATAGCTTTTTAGTAAAATGTTTCCAAGGGCTATGTTTCTGATCATTAGAGATTCACTTGGTAGTTATATGAAGCAGAGGGAAAAAGATTAGTTTTTGTTACCGTCTATTTGGTTTATATCTGTTAATTGTGGATGGAGTCCCTGGGGAAAGGGTGAAAATGGATCATTTCTCACGTGTCCGCTCAATTTTGACTCTTTCTATTAAAGTTTGTCATGATGGCTGCTCAAAATCAGGAAGCTGCCAACACCAGCTCCATTTGGGATAGTTTGACCTTTTTACCACAAGAGGGCCATCTAAAACACAGAATGTCCTTTTAATATTTTCATGCTCCTACTTTGAGCTTCAAGGAAACAGTTTTTATTTTTCAGGTATCTTTTCACAAACTGAGAAAATATACAGACCCCAAGCACTTTATTTTGGAGTACAGCAAGAAAGAGAAACGGGAACTGTGTTATGATTTTAAAAGCAAAGGTTTTCTTGGATTTGTGTACATAAAATGATCACATTCAATTCTAAGTACTTTTCCCCATTATATCCATATCCCATTATTGAGCAAAGTGCTTCCTTTTAAGAAGACCGCTGTAATTCGTATCATGCTACATCTGAAAACGGGCATTATAAATGACATCTTGCACTATTTTTAAACCTCAAGCCAGCTGAAGCCTTGTATTCCATATACACAGCAATGAACCGACTTTATTCATCACCTCATTCATTTAATTTAAAAAAATTTACTGAACAAATATTATAGGCCAGACACTCCGAGAGATATTAAGAATCCAAAGATGACTTAGGAAGTTACAGAGGACCCTCTTGTTTTTTCCTCATTGCGTCTGTCTTCTCGAACAGAAGAAAACAAGGCTAACCAGGAGTTTATAATTTGAAAAGCGAAAGTGATTAAGCTGTTCCCCTGAACTACTGTCCTCCACTCTAACTGATCAGCTGCGGAGCTTTCTACACCACAAAACCCCAGTCCCTAACCAACACTTAACTGGATTAGGCTCAACAAAACATGTGTGACAAGAGAGACACACTTAACTGAGAACAAAAACTTCTCATGTATGTATACGAAATTTATGCTGAATTTATACTATCGTATGAACAAAAAGGCTATCTTTGTGTTGAAGCAAATCCATGTCAATGCAGTCTCATACAATAGGAAACTCTACATGAATGCACACTTCTGGGGTTAGTTCTCCAGTAATTCTTGCTTTCTTGAACATGCTCACAAACAAACTGGCAACAGATGAGCTGACACCCTCCCTATCTGTCAATTTATCTTACTCTTTGCCACAATGACAAGAAAGATCTGAAAGTGGCCTATTTGTGGGCTTTTTAATAACTATTAAAATCTAAGATTCCTTATTTTCCCAAAAACAATTATGCCAGGGCCTGGTGCCAGACATTTGAGCGTCATTCTCCCAAAATACAACCTGAGTGCTGGGCTTTTGACTTTTTGTTTCTCTGTCTCAACACTCTTTTCACTTTCAGTGATATAAACCGAGATTTAGATTGCATACAAATGGTCATTCTAACACACCTCATTCCTTTCTGTTTGCTTCGTGCTTGTGAGTCCGTGGTTGGTACAGGTTAAGGACTGGTTTACTAAACTTTTCCACTCTTTCCTCTCTTGCAAGATGTGATTCAGGAGAATTCTCAATGTATTTAAGGAATCCACTTGGAATTTGTCCCAAAACCAGCCTTTTCGAAGGTTCAGAGGATTTAGTCAACTGCTTTGGCATGATCTGCATTTTTTTACGGTCTTATTTTTTCCTAGTTTCAAGTTCTCCCAACATGAGAAATGGAACAGAATAAATACACTGAAATAGCTGTTCTCCCATTATTTCTGCTTTTGAAAAAATAAACAAAAAACAAAAAATCTCCTATGAAAACTTGTACTGCTGAGCAAGCTCTCTGCCGGGGGCGGGGGGGGTTAGCGAAGTGCACCACATGCCAGATGTGCATCTGCAGCACTGGTACCTACCTGAATAGAGCAAACTTCCCAAGGCTTTTAAGACATATTTTTGTCTAATGATCACCAATAAAACAGGATCCATCCCTTGACTGTCGAATTTGGGTTTGGCCTGGTTTCTTTGATGAACTCAAGAAAACTTTAGACTATGCTGATCCTCAAAAAAAAATCTCTTGGATATAGTATTATATTAGTAAATGAAATAAGAGGCTGACAAAATGTCAACAGATTTGATCTTATAATTCAAATCAGGATAAGAAATTGTACGATTTACCATACAGAGAAGTTAAAACACGACAGGTTTAAAATCCTAACAACACTGTGGTTCTTTTTTCTCTTCTCCTCCAGTCTTCTGCAGGTACACATTTTTCAAATAGTTGTAATGATGGTATAGCTACTACTTGGTGACCTGTTTTTTGTTCAACAGTGTGCATAAGCATTTTTTTGTTTTACTCAATAGTGTCTGGCATGATCATTTGTGATGGCTGCAACAAATTCCATCAAATCGATGTGCATAATATAGATAACTCTTTCAGAGATCATTTAGATTATTTCTAGATGTTCTCATGTTACAAATAATATTGCAAAGAGTATGTTCACGACTATAGATATTTAAAAAAAACATTTTCTAAGGTTAAATCTGCGGAAATGGCATTAGTGGGTCAACAGATACAAGTACTTTTTATAGTTTGGTAAGTGGATTAAATAATTAGATTAAATTAATTAGACTAAAATAATTCCATCTATTTAGCTAAACACAAAATGTGTTTCAATCAAGAAAATGTTGAGTCTTTTACTCTTTAAACATTAAGGCAGGATTTGCTTTGTAAATCAGGTAAGTTTGATAAATTTTCATACAAAATAGTAAGAATCTGTTTTTACATTAAAACCCATCAAGTCAATAAAGATAGCCATTGAAAACATTTAAATACTAAATTCCATTTTGAGAACCATCTATGCAATAAAGTTTATAACTTTAAAAAATCAAAAGAAAAAAAGTACTTAGAAAAACTTCCCAAAGAAATGTGAATTATTCTATGTAAACCTTTTCTTGTTAATTAAATAGCAGTAGTAGAGTGGAAAGAAAATAGAGTTTAGCATCAGAAATTGTGGGTTCTATCTAGTTACTATACTTACCAGCTATGGAATCATGAATACTGAGTAAAATAATGGATAGATAGCTGAAAACACATAATACAAATCTGGTTAAAATAAACAGTTCTGTTATTTGACCTCTAGGGTTTTGTTTTTTTTTTTTATGAATGTGACAAGCACATTTCAAAATGGTTAGAATAATAATAGGTTTTATAAGTAGTATTAAATTCAGCAATGTTCTGCAAGTTAAGGCACTGGAATTCTCAGAACATTAATGTCAATGTTTGAACTTATTCAAAACTGGACAGTCATTTGAGTGTTTTTTAAGGAGAGAGCTCTTTGAAGTAATATGTTTTGTGCTCAACTCAGTCATGTTTGGAGGACAACTTCTAAAAGCAGGAACAGAGAGCTTATCATAACAGGAACAGGCACTATTTTAATATTTTAGAAAGTCATCTTAAAATTTCATGACAAATATTATGGAGCTTATTATAAACTTATATATATATATATATCTCAATATTTAAGGGGCTTATATATATATATACACACACATACACACACACATCTATGTGTGTGTGTGTGTGTGTGTATACCTGTTGTTCAATAATAACCACCATAGACTTTATTTTCCATTAAGCTTGAGCTATATATGAAACTTTAAAAAAGGAGTACTGGATAATCAATAATTTTATCAAGGTATCCAGAGCATTAGTAGTCATGAGTATACAAGCTAATGCCAAGAATTATCTGTATTTTCAACTCAAAAAGGATTATAATCTCCACAGTTTAAAATTCTGGTGGTTATGGGTAATGATCTTAGCTGACTGTATAATTAATTCCCAAGATAGGTATCTGATAATGTCACATCTAGTTTCAATCTGTTATCAAATAATTGTACAAATTTGGTCCATCTAAACTTCAGACATCAATGTCAGCTACCTCAGAGGATTTCTGTTAAGATCAAATGGGAATTGTCTTAGGGGCGCCTGGGTGGCTCAGTTGGTTAGGCGGCTATCTTCAGCTCAGGGTCATGATCCCAGGATCCTGGGATCGAGTCCTGCATCAGGCTCCCTGCTCAGCAGGGAGTCTGCTTCTCCCT